CCGGGAAGTGCGCAAAACAATCAGCAGGTGAAAGGGGCACCAACTCCACCAGCCTGAACCTGCCCGAGGAAGCGCAGGCCACAGCTCGGCACCCGCTCAACGGCGGCGGGCCACAGGTGTGCAAGCAGCGACGCCCAGAAGGAATCTCATTTGGGGCTGCATTTAAGAGGAGCGGATTCAGGGGCGCCCGGGGGGCTCAGTCGGTTGAGCGTCCGACTTGGGCTCGGGTCGTGATCTCACAGTTGGTGGGTTCGAGCCCCACGTCGGGCTCTGTGCCGACAGCTCGGAGCCTGGAGCCTGCTTCGGATTCTGTGTCTCCCTCTCTCTCTCTGCCCCTCTCCCACTCGTGCTATGTCTCTTATAAATAAATAAACCTTAAATAAGTAAACAAATAAAAAACAAAAATTTGGATTTACACGTCTTTTGATGAACCATTTGAATACCGGAAAAGCCTCCGTCCTCAAGTACTCCAGCAGCCCCACCCGCGACCTCTGCGCTCCTGACCGTCTCCTGCCTGGTAGCGTTCTGTGTCCCGTCACTGACCTGACGGGACGCCGTCTCCCCCATCCAAATAGGCGGCGAGCAGAGGAAGCCCTCCGCCAGCCTCTCTGTGAGCTGAGGCGCGGCACCCGCTCCCCAAGCGGAGGCCGTGATGCTGTACTGACCTCTCGGCCATCAGCCAGGGGTTGAAGGCGCCCACGGCCTCGTGCGCGGTCATGCGGAGATACTGCTCGAAGCGGCTGCAGGAGTCGCGGATGCTGCGTCGCATGCCCGGGGGCACCAGGAGGGCGGTGCGGCCTTCCTGCCGCAGAGACTCTTCCGGAAGGGGCGGAAGGGGAGCCTCCCTCTTCTCAGACTCCTCGCCAGCGTCCACACTTGCATCCAGGGAGCTGAGGGGACAGGTGGCGAGCTCAGATGGCCCACGAGCAACAGCATGCCGTTCCTCCCACCCGACGAGCCAGGGCTAGTCTTTCTCTCTCCCCGAGCAAAGCCAACACCCCCGCGGCCCCCGACGCCCGCCCCGTGTGGGCATCGCTGTCCCGCACGCCACGGGGCTCTGGGGGCAGGTGTGCCACGGGATCCGCACAGCCGGGCGGTGCCGCCCCCCGTAAACACTGCCTCCGGCACGGCGCTCACCGGCCCGTCTTACGGCCTCACCGCTTCACCGGGCCTCCCTGGAGCTCGGCGACATTGGGCCCCAGGCCCCGAGAAAGGATTTCCTCGTCTTGAGGGAAGCAACGGACTCAGGCGTCTCACAGCACCGGAGGCCGAAGCAGCCTGGGCGCCACTTACTTGCCATTGCGAGGTCTTTCCAACACGATGCTCGCGCCCGGGTCTTTGCGCGCGGGGCTCTTTGCGGTCCCGACTGGATGAGGAGAGAGAGGCCTTTCACCTACCGCCGGGAGCGTCTGCTCTAGAAGAGAGGCACACAGCGGCCGCAGATAAACACCAGCCCACGGGCCCTAGAGCGGCCCCAGCGGCCGGCCCGTGAGGTCGCCGCTCGCACCTCTCCCAGCCTGGCGGCCGGCAGCGCAAACTCGCTTGTTTTCAAGGGAAAGGTGAATTTAAAGGCACGACGAGGAATCAGTTTTAAGAAACCACGGGCTCCTGGGGCGCCTGGCTGGCTCAGTCAGTCAAACGTCCGACTCTTGATTTCAGCTCAGATCGTGATCTCAAGGTTCGTGAGTTCGAGCCCTGGGTGGGGCTCTGTGCTGTCGGCTCAGAGGCTGCTTGGGATTCTCCCTCTCCCTCTCTCTGCCCCTCCCCACCCCCTGTCAAAATAAGTAAACGT